AAAAAAAAGAAATCAACCAGTAACAAATTCTTGTGGGGTTGTAAAGAAAAAGGAACCCTGCTCCACTGTTGGTGGGGGTGCAGACTGGTGCAACCACCAGTTCTGTAAGAATCCGTATGAAATCAGTATGGAGATACCTTACAAAACTAGGATAAAGAATGCTATATGAGAGACAAAGCTAAAAGGATGCACATTGAGCCCATTCTCTTAGGTGAAATAAATAGGACACACCTGTGTAATTACTGAATAGTTTCCCTGGTGTGAAAAACTGAAAATGTGAATGAGGACCAAAATGTACAAGAGAGAACATGAAACAGGAAGAAAAGGTCCAATCAAGAAGGGAAAATGGAAGGGGTGAGGGGAGAAGGGAAAGGGGAAAAATGAGAAAAGGAAAACCAGAAACAAAGTCTTTGTAAATAGGGAGGGGAGAGGGGTTAAGGGGAGGGCAGGGTGAAGGGGGAAAATAAGAGCCAAGATATATCATGTACAGGTACATATTCCCTACGATGAGTGTGATCATTACATACATCTAAAATGTACTAATAAAACTAACTTTTAGAAAAATGACAAAGGCTGGAACTAAACGATACAACGAGTATACTGAAAATGCAATATACTCAGTTAACCATAGTACTTATTAAGCAGGAGAAAAAAAAATCTGTGAACCCAGACAGGGCTTATTTGTGAACAAACAGAAGAAACAAAGAAAAAGAGTGAAAAAAGCTTATGGGATTCATGGGACATCATACACTGAAATCACAATGTACTTTTTATTTATGTATCTCTTATAGGTATCATAAAGACTACAGCAAACAACAAATTCCAGTATGGATGTGGGAGGGGAAAGGAACATTCATGTACTGTTGGAGGCAATGTGAATTAGTACAGCCACTATGGAAATGAGTATGGACAATCCTCAAAATATGAAAATAGAGTGACCATATGATCAAACTGTAACAATCCTCAGTGTGTACCCACAAAAATTAGTCACAGTGCTATAGAGATACATGCAGAACCATGCTGACTGTAACACAATTCATTCACAACACTCCAGCTGTGGAATCAGCCTAAATTCCCCTCAAGTGACGAATGGAACAGAACATGTGACGATCAAGATGGATGGATGATAGATGATCTAGACGATAGGTAGGTAGACAGAGGATAGATGACAGACAGACAGACAGAATAGGACATTACACAGTCCTGAGCAGCAATGAAATCAGGTATTTTCAGAAAAATAAACGGAACTAGAGACCACTGTGTTCAGCAAAATAAACCAGAGTCAAAGAAATCCATGGTAAGCTTTCTCTCATATGTGGAATACACTAAAAAGTGACCTGAACATAGAAATGAAACTATTGGAGGAGAAGAAAAAAAATCATGGAATGGAAGGGCAGGGGTAATGAGAGCTGGAAATGCATGAAGGGTGTTTCATTCATGTAGGAATATGTCAAAACGAAACTCATTAATCTGTAAAACTAATATGCACTAATATAAATTAACTAATTAATTAATTAAAATTGAGTTGCTGACATTTTTAAGAAAGCGGACATCAGAAAGCAAATGTGGTATAGATAGATGATAGATAGATAGATAGATAGATAGATAGATAGATAGATAGATAGGTAGATAGATGGACACACAGAGTGGAGTACTTCTTAGCCATAAAGAAGGATAAATTGAGACACTTGGGTGAAAACGGATGCCCCTTAAGAAGATAATGTTAAAAGAGATGAATCAGATGCACAAGCCTAAATATCACATTGGTTCCCTTATATACCAAAAGTATAAATGACTTAAAGAACAAAATGAAAGACAGATAATAGGAAATGGGGAGATAGATTATTTCTGAATTGGAAGAGGGTGTACACATGGAAGGAGGACCAGGGGGGAGAAATAAAAAGAATGAAGATGTGTTCTGTACATGTGCCAATTCCCACAATGAATGCAATCATTATGAACATCAAACATGTCTAAGAAATGTTTAAAAAGAAAGACTGTAATCAGAGTAAGGGAAACACCAGGCAATAAATAAAAAGACAAAGTTTGCATTCACAATGGGATCCAGGAATCACGATTTCCAACTCTGAGGATTAGAATGCAGCCAGCAGGGCACTTATCCAGCCACGTCCAGTGGGCCCTTCTGAAGGTCCCCTGCAGAGACTTTTCAGCGCTCTCTTTACGTCTTTATTCCTCAGAGTGTAGATGAAGGGGTTCAGCATAGGGGTGACCACAGTGTACATCACTGAGGCTGTTGCACTTGAGTGTGAGCTGTGAGCAGTGGCAGAGCCAATGTACACGCCTAGGCCTGTGCCATAAAAGAAAAAGACAACTGAGAGGTGAGATGCACAGGTGGAAAATGCTTTATACTTCCCTTGAGCTGATGAGATTGCATGTACGGAGGAAACTATCTTGGAGTAAGAGTAAATTATTCCAGCAAGGGAAGCAGCAGCCAGCAGCACAGGTGCAAAATGCATCACGAGGTCACTAAAAAAGTTTTCAGAACAGGAAAGTTGGGCTACCTGGTTGAGTTCACAAAAGAAGTGTGGGATTTTGAAGTCAGTACAGAAGGACAGCTGCAGCACCATTAGGCTTTGTAACAAGGCATGTAGAGCGCTCACGATCCAGGACACAAACACCAGAACCATACAGAGAGGGCGGTTCATGATGACCATGTAATGTAGGGGGTGACAGATGGCTACAAACCTGTCATAGGCCATCACAGCCAGGAGGAAATTGTCCAACTCTCCAAAGAGCAAGAAAAAGTACATCTGAGTGATGCAGCCTGCATAGCTAATGACCTTGCTCTGAGTCTGGATGTTCACCAGCATCTTGGGCACCGTGGTGGAGGTGAAACAGATGTCCACAAAGGACAGGTGAGAGAGGAAGAAGTACATGGGGGTGTGCAGGCGGGAGTCTGAGATGATGGCCAGGGTGATGAGCAGGTTCCCGAGCACGGTGATCAGGTACATGGAGAGGAAAAGTCCATAAACGAGGGACTGCTGTTCTAGGTCATCTGAAAGCCCCAGAAGAAGAAATTCTGAAATTCTTGTGCTGTTTCCTAGTTCCATGTGGTGGATGAAACTACCAGGAAAAAGAGAAAAAAAAATAACAAGTACTATTTGCACAAGTGGATGTTACTTATATAGTTGTAATGCTCCAATTTATACTTTCCAATCTATAAATTCATTTCTACCTTTTTTTGATCTGTTTGATCGGTTACCCTTAGAGAATTCCTAGTGCCATTCCTAATTAGAAAAGTCTGTCCCACTGTAAGTCGCCTCCCTAGGAAGTCATGTAATGGACAGCTGTACTGAGAAACTATTTCTTACATTTGAGGAATACATAGTGAGTGCTATGTTCGAGGCCCTGACTAGGCTGGTGTAAAACAGAAGTTTTTACATTCCAGAGATGGACAAAGAATATATACCAACAAGAAAATCACATATCTATTTCCTTTTGTGGGGAAGGCATCACATACATTTGCATATGCAAATATTCATCCAATGATACACATTAACTGAATATGAAATATATCTCAATAAAGCCATTTTAAAAGGAATAACCATGTACATGCCAGATAGATAGTGAAATTCCCATTTACACAATGAAAGCTGATATGTAGGAAGTTCCCTTGTGTGGACTGCTTGGAGTATCTTATGTGGAACCCCAGCATCATGAGTGCCATGCAGGTTCTCCAGCATTGATCCTTATACCCAACCCTGGGGATGTCATTTGTTATAGGTGTCTAGGCCAGATAAGCAGAGAAGGTGACATTTAAACAGAGAGCTCAAGAACACACAGCAGGAGCAAAAGATTCTCTGCAGAAATGCCACGTGATAGCAGGGAGACGCCAGTGCAAAAGCCATTGACAGGTACTTGTTTATGATGTTCAAGGCCTTTAGAGAGCCAGTGTGTGGAGGTCAATTAGAAGGAGGGAAGGCCGGGAGTTAGCTCAGTGGCACCATGCCTGCCTTAAGAAAGAAGGAAGGAAGGAGGGAGGGAGGGTGGGAAGGAGAGAGAGAGGGAAGGAGGGAATGAAAGAGAGAGAGAGATGGTGTCAGAGGATGCTGAGTGATTAGGTGGTGCTAAAACTGCAAGACCCAGGGAGAACTTCATCCGCACTATCTACTTACTGCACACTGTTAATTCTGTTGCAAAAGGACCCTGATATTTCAAAGGTAAACTCTCCTCACTACCACTGCTCTTTGGGTTCTCCCTGTGTATCGGCAGTCACCTTGAAATGCAGAGTCCAGGTATCCGTGCTGTGAAGACTGGGCACAAACCACCACACTTCGGTCCTTTGGGTGACTTACTGGTGGACTGGGCAGACTCAATTACTTTCCTCTAGTGTAGAAATGGTGCCCAGAATTTCCATTTTGTAAGCCTCCAATAAACAAAAAGTATAGGCTATTGTTTCATTTTTAAACTTCTCTATATTTACAGAAACACACACCAGAAAATCAGTTCAATAAACACAGAGTGCAAATAAGAGAGGAATGGCATGGACACAAAATATAAGACAAGAAATAAACTTGGATGTTGCCTGAGAGGCTAAAAGAAAGAAAATGCTCCCTTGGTTTGGGTGAAATTCCAAACAAATTTGTATTTCCTGAATGCCCTGCAAACACAAGAAGACAGAAAAGATAAACTTATATTTTCTTCAAAGTAGGGAAATAGTTATAGTTTCAAACACTATATAAAAGTGACTTCAAAACAGAAAATGATCAGGGAGAATAAACAAAAAATTCCCCCAACAACATGCAGTACAAAGTAAAACAAAAGTTAAGCACATTTCTAAGTGAAAAAAACATTGTCTTATACCTATTCATACTTATTTGACCATTCAGTTTTGATTCAGCCTATTGATGATTGAGGCAGGTCCTTTCTCAGTTTTTTTTTATTGAGTTTATTGGTACATTCTAGGTATACAGTACAGTTACATTCATTACTGGGATCGTGTACCTTTACATGACAGGTCTTGGTTCTCATTTTTTCCCCTTGTCTTTTCTCAGTTCCTTATTAGTGAATATCGGTGATACATAATGAGTAAATTCAGCAAGGGGTTTGGTGCATCTCTCTTGTGAATCTTATCTTTGTTATTTTGGGGCTTTCAATTTTGATTTATTTTTCAACAAATGCCATGGTACACTGTCGCCCTCATTTGGGTCTCTGTCAAAGATGCAATGACCTCCACAGGCACTCTTTATAATATCACGCACATATCATGACCACAATACCTTGACCTCCTCTGTTTATGCCTGGGGGAGTTGCATCATTCAGACATTGATTCCACTGTTCTATTACAAGATTCAGATGAGCAGAGAACTCACCTCCTTTGTTCTTTACATTTTCACAAAGCTATGTAAATATGTATGCCTTTGAAGACAATGATAAGTTATGTAAATGAAATCAGGTTAAATAGAGTTGATTCAAAATGACTGTGTTAAACAGAATGTCACGAAGACTCAAAAACTGCCTGAAATAAGGGCTTGGGCATAGCTCAGTGACAAAGTGCCTTCCTAGCATGCATTAGGCTCTGGCTTCCACCTTCAGCACCACCATTTTTTAAAGAACTAAGTGAAAAGCATTTAAAATATTAACACAAGATAACAATGAGATCAACAAAAGCTCAGGAATATTAGCATATGACCATGAAATTATCCTATCGTTCTTGCTTGTAATAGCTATTAAGTTATCATTTGTTGAAAAAAGCAGCAACTGGGTGTCCATATATGAGGGCTTTTAACATATGAACAGGTTATACCTTAATGTAATAAAAAAAGATTAACTTTTGGAATAAAAGCAGACATAAGCGTTTATCAATCTAGAAGAAAGTGACATTGATCCCCCACCTCAAAATCCTGTTTTCCCCAGTAATGACAGTGCCTAATGGCCTCACCTAAAAATCCACACTTGATTTAGATGAACACCTGGAAATTATACTGCGTATGTAATCCACTGAGCAAAATCATGTTGAGGCCAAACAACATTCCCAGGAATAAGAAGACATATATATACATGTATACCTAAAAATAATTTGATCAAAAATTTCACCACACAAGCCAATGGAGAAACAAAAATTTGTGAAATAGAAGTCATCTGGAGTAATAGTACTAATAATGGGGAACACCATATGGTGATGAAATATATATATTAGCTTAAAGTCAAAAATAGTTGAAAGGGACAAGAAATGCTTTGTCATACCGAGTAGCCTAGAGAAAAATAAACCTATAGAGCTGTTACCTTGATTGGGGGAAGAATTTCAAATAAATTACAAAAGGTGGTACTCTCTAATTTGGTGTTGGAATATTATTAGGTACCTGTACTGGGGACACAATATGAAGACAGCTGTGAATATTATAATTGCAAATATATAATTCAGGGATTCTCAATCTCAACACTGTCGACATTCTTAACCACACTATTCTTTCTAGAGTGTGTGTGGGTGTGCGTGTGTGTGTGCGTGTGTGTGTGTGTGTGTGTGTGTGTGTGTGTTGGGGATGAGCCATCCATACACGATAGGATGGTCAGCAGCATGACTGTGACCTCAAGTGATTCCGATCCTATGTAGAAATCAGTCATTTCTCTGGACATTGCTTGGTGTCCATCAAAGACAAAATCAATCCTATCTCAGAACCTTGAATTTAAAAGGAGAAAAATATTTTTGCAACATTGCAATATAAGCAAATTAGTGGAAAAACATGAATGACCATCAAAAGTGTGAATAACACAGCCCATTATGAATATTACAATGCTACAAAATATTTATTCTGCATTATGATGGTTGCAGGGAAATCAGTAAGGAATTTTTGAGTATGACTCTAAGGGAACAACTTCACACAGCATTTACAATGTGCACACATTCCCATTTGTACATCTGAATAAAGCGTCTAAGAATGTAGAAAGAGAAGTTTCACAAACTTACAGAACAAATAACTGTGAAAATTAAATTAGTTCAAATGTACTGAAATTAAGTATATTTCTTTATGCAGTGAATGTGAGTACTTTCAGAAAGTAGTATTTCCCTTTCCCTAAATACTTATGAATTGTGTGTGTTGTGAAATGTTTAATTTCTCTTTTATAATTTTTAAGTATATAACAAAAACCTAGCATAACCCCTTGGAGGTAATTTCTACTTGTTTATATGCTTGTAAAAATTATGCAATAAAAATATATACAATAAACTGTAAACTATTATCACCCTAACACACCATATAACTCTAGAACTTATTTCTTCAGTATAAATATATTTGGATACCCACTTTTCAAATGCCCTATCTCCCTTACCCCTAGCCTGGCTAAATTTCAGAGGTCTCTCTTCTACACTCTAATGAATCTATGTTTTAATTTTTAAAATTTTGACTAACATATTCATTTTATATATTAGAGTGGCTCAGTGTGGTACTTACAGATATGTATATAGCATATGCTGGATTAAGGAAAATGCAAAGAAAATGTAAATGATCTAAAAGAAAAGATAAAATGATAATTAATTAATGATATCAACATGGGTTACTAATTCATGATTGAATTGCCAGAGACTTGCAAATATTAGAATATGACAGACTGCTTTTCCAAATTCATACTTTGAAAATTATGCTTCATAAATTTTTGTTGCAAGATACAGTTTGCAAGAATTTCTTTCTCTAAATTTTTCTCATCAATACAGAAACATATATCGCACCTCAAACACAAAAAATATCCTGATGGGCCAGGGATTTAGCTCAGTGGTTCCTCTGCCTACTTCACAAGCACAAGGTCCTGAGTTTAATCCCTGGTACCAAAAAAAAAAGAAAAAAAATTCCTGGTTACACTTCATTTCCCTCCTCATCTTAGTTGTAAAGATATTTGGACTTTCATTCTTTTCCTGGAAGGACTTTTTCATATTCTCTATTCTGTTCTGGCCTCTGTTACCAGAATTTCATTGTCAGCAGTGAAACTTGCATTAATTAGTTAAATATTCATTGCACATTGTAGCAGTATAAATAAAAAACTATGATTATTAATAAATCAGAATAGCAAGGAGCCACAGCACTCCCTACTCTGGGCTAGGTCTGACTGGCTCTGT